CTAGACTATAGACTAGACTATAGACTAGACTATAGACTAGACTATAGACTAGACTATAGACTAGACTATAGACTAACTATAGACTAGACTATAGACTAGACTATAGACTAGACTATAGACTAGACTATAGACTAGACTATAGACTAGACTATAGACTAGACTATAGACTAGACTAAGACTAGACTATAGACTAGACTATAGACTAGACTATAGACTAGACTATAGCCTAGACTATAACTAGACGATAGACTAGACTATAGACTAGACTATAGACTAGACTATAGACTAGACTATAGACTAGACTATAGACTAGACTACAGACTAGACTATAGACTAGACTATAGCCTAGACTATAGACTAGACTATAGACTAGACTATAGACTAGACTATAGACTAGACTATAGACTATACTAGACTAGACTATAGACTAGACTATAGACTAGACTATAGACTAGACTATAGGCTAGACTATAGGCTAGACTATAGGCTAGACTATAGGCTAGACTATAGGCTAGACTATAGGCTAGACTATAGGCTAGACTATAGGCTAGACTATAGGCTAGACTATAGGCTAGACTATAGACTAGACTATAGACTAGTCTAGGTTGATATAATATCTCAATAATGATCAAGATGTTAGCTCCTGTCGTTTAGGCCTCATCGTGTTTTGATTATTTCATATATTTTACGAAACATTCATATAACTGATGAACGTGTTTCATTAGCTAAGTAGATGAATTTTTGTCAATAAAAGTCTTATTTGAGCATTCAAGGAAAAGTGATTTCATACAGTCTGACGGCCATAGTTTCAAAAAGTGATTCCGATTCAATTGTCTGCGTTATAAACATAAACGCAGGCGGTAAAAGTATTCCCAATATAGAGGCAAAATCAAATATTAAACTGAATTTTAGAAAATATTGATAGCTAACTAAGCTTGTCAAATACTTGAACATTATAAAAGAAGTTGATAAGAATGAAATTGGAAAGTATTTTATATGAATTTTGTAGGGTATAATGAATATATATGGTAGCAGTCTAACTTGTTTTCAAAACAAAATATTTTATATGTTATTTAATATTATTTGTTTTTTAATAAAAAAAATGTTAATGTTATTACTGGTTTCTATTTTCAAACATTTTTTGGCTACCAACTTAAAATTATCTTAAGATTCTTGTCATAAAATAGCAGCCGTTTGCATTAGTGTTTATAAATTAAAAAAAAAAAAATCTTAAAATATTGTGTCCATTTGTGCATACAGATTTAAAAAAATAAAATAAAACATCAACTTTATTTTTAATTTGGGAAACTCCCAAGCTAGTTTTTTGATGTTTAAATATTTATTTTATTTTTATTTTCAATAAATTACACAGACACTTTTTGAATGTTAATATTTCGAGACGCCAAGAACTTTTATTTTTTTTGCTTTATTTATGAGAATGTTTGCTGTGAGGCAAATGATAAATTGTATTTATTAAATCTGCATAAACTATAATAATAAACAAACCTCGACTAAAGCAAAAAAAAATAAAAACAAATGTTTAAACAACAAATAAAAAACACCAACAAAATGTTTAAAACTTATTAAAAATTCAAACAATTTACGTAAGAAAACACTTAAAAACAGCAGCAACAACAACAACAAGAAAAAAAAACTAATAATTATAATATTAATTTGAAAACATAAATCATGTTTGAAAGAAGCACGAACCGTGTCTATTAACTGCAACTTTATACTGAAACCAAACAAAAAAAAAAGAAACAAACTATAAGATGCAAACATTTGAATGAATTAATGAAACATATAATTAAGCTAACGAAACACAAACTTAATAATTATTAAGATTTTAATCAAAATCACTGAATTTGAAATTAAATGCTGTTGAATATTAATATTTACAAGTTGAGGGTGTGTGAATCACAAAGATGCCAACCCATAACATGATCATAATGATAGTGTTTAGTGATAATGATGACGGGATTGATTTTCAGAAAACTAACTAACAACTCAACAACTTCCTGCTCTGGGAATTTAAGCGTTTTAACAAAAACAACCCAAGAAATATGCTTAATAAATTTAAATTCGTTTTTTTTTTTTTTTTGTTTTAGTCTTTATCTATGGTTAAACAATAAAATACCTAAAGAAGCCGGTTTAAACCATTTAATGGTTTGAAACAATAACCAAGTAGATGAAAAGAAAAAAAAAACTATTAAAATTCATGTTTTAGTTTTATTAACAGACATTTTTCTGTGAGTTTAATTTGCATAAATACTTGTATTCTTTTCAAGTGACGTCATAAAAGATTTCCTATTGTTTTAAATTCTAGTATATGCTACAACCACTAGACTTGTCTCTAAGAATGTAACACTAGTTACTAATATAGTGACACTTGACTAGCCTCTGGTATACAGACATTAGACTAGTGTGTAGTATAGAGACTAGACTAGTGTGTAATATAGAGACTAGACTAGTGTCTAGTCACTAGACTCTAGTGTATAGACTGGACTAATGTCTAGTGTAGAGACTAGACTAATGTCTAGTCTCTATACTAGACTAGTGTCTAGTATAGAGACTAGACTAGTGTCTAGTATAGGGACTAGACTAGTTTCTAGTATAGAGACTAGACTAGACCAGTTTCTAGTATAGAGACTAGACTATACTAGTTTCTAGTATAGATACTAGACTAGACTAGTTTCTAGTATAGAGACTAGACTAGACTAGTTTCTAGTATAGAGACTAGACTAGACAAGTTTCTAGTATAGAGACTAGATTAGACTAAACTAGTGCCTAGTATAGAGACTAGACTAGTGCCTAGTATAGAGACTAGACTAGTGCCTAGTATAGAGACTAGACTAGTGCCTAGTATAGAGACTAGACTAGTGTCTAGTATAGAGACTAGACTAGTGTCTAGTATAGATTTTAGACTAGACTAGTGTCTACTATAGAGACTAGACTAGACTAGTGTCTACTATAGAGACTAGTCAATACTAGACTAGTATCTAGTATACACTGTCTAGTATAGAAAGTAGACTAGTGTCTAGTATAGAGACTATACTAGTGTTTAGTATAGAGATTAGACTAGCATCTAGTAAACAGACTAGCGTCTAGTGTAGAGGCTTGACAAGTGTAGAGACTAGACTAGTGTCTAGTGTAAAGACTAGACTAGTGTCTATTATAGAGACTTGACTAGACTTGTGTCTAGTTTAGAGACTAGACTAGTTTCTAGTATATAGACTAGACTAGTTTCTAGTATAGAGACTAGACTAGTTTGTAGTATAGAGACTAGACTAGTGTCTAGTATAGAGACTAGACTAGTGTCTAGTGTAGAGACTAGACTAGTGTCTGGTGTAGAGACTAGACTAGTGTCTAGTGTAGAGACTATACTAGTGTCTAGTGAAGAGAATATACAAGTGTCTAGTGTAGAGACTAGACTGGTGTCTAGTGTAGAGACTAGACCAGTGTCTAGTGTAGGGACTAGACTAGTGTCTAGTGTAGACACTAGACTAATGTCTAGTATAGAGACTAGACTAGTGTCTAGCATAGAGGTTCAAGTGTATAGTACAGAGACTAGACTAATGTCTAGTATTGAGACTAGAATAGTGTCTAGTATAGTGTATAGTATAGAGACTAGACTAGTATCTAGTATAGAGACTAGACTAGTGTCTAGAATAGAGACTAGACTAGTGTCCAGTATAGAGACTAGACTAGTGTCTAGTATAGAGACTAGACTAGTGTCTAGTATAGAGACTAGACTAGTGTCTAGCATAGAGGTTCGAATAGTGTATAGTATAGAGACTAGATTAGTGTCTAGTATAGAGTCTAGACTAGTGTATAGTATAGAGACTAGAATATCTCTTAGTATATAGACTAGACTATCTTTTAGTATAGAGACTAGACTGGTATATAGTATAGAGACTAGACTGGTGTATAGTATAGAGACTAGATTAGTGTCTAGTATAGAGACTAGACTAGTATCTAGTATAGTGACTAGACTAGCGTTTAGTGTAGAGACTAGACTAGTGTCTAGTATAGAGACTAGACTAGTGTCTAGTATAGAGACTAGACTAGTGTCTAGTATAGTGACTAGACTAATGTCTAGTATAGAAACTAGACTAGTATCTAGTATAGAGACTAGACTGTTGTCTAGTATAGTTATTAAACTAGTGTCTACTATAGACTAGAGTCTAAGTATAGAGACTATACTAGTGTCTAGTGTAGAGACTAGACTAGTATCTAGTATAGAGACTAGACTAGTTTCTAGTGTAGAGGCTAGACAAGTTGTAGTACTGTTCAGACCAGATTATTCAGGTCCCTAAGAGAAGTATAGAGACTAGACTAGTGTATAATATAAAGACTAGACTAATATAAAGACTGGACTAGTGTAGAGTATAGGGACTTGACTAAGTAGTGCCTTGAGACTAAACATGTTAGACAAGTGTCTAATATATAGGCTAGTCAAGTTGTGGTACCTAGGACTATACTAGTGACTAGTATAGTTACTAGACTAGTTGCAGAATAGGGAATGGACAAAGGTCTAGTATAGTGACTAGTATAGAGACTAGACTAGTTCCTAATATAAAGACTTGAATAGAATAGGGTCTACTAATGCGACTAGATTATGGTCTAGTATAGAGAAAAGAAAAGGGTGTAATATAGAGACTAGAATAGGATTTAGTCTTTAATTTGGGGTCCAGACTAGTCTCTTTACTAGACTAGACTCTATACTAGAGACTATCTATACTAGAGACCAATGATGCTAAAGAACAAGAACTAGTTTCTATACTGGAAACCATTTAGTGTAGGGCGTAATATAGTCGATCAATTCCCTCATACACTTTAGTTTTTTTATTTATTTATTTAATAATTTATTTTATTTTAATTCCTTAATATTATTTTATTCAATTCAAAAATTTATTTAAATAATTAAACACGTGAATTATTTTTAGCAACAACAACAAAAAAAATAAATTAATTTTTCTTTCCTTAATTCTTCTTTACAGACATTTTTGGTATTATCCATGATCTTGGCTTTAGCCTGGTGCCAACAGCACTATCAACAAATCAGTGACAGTGAAGTGCCCGCTGTTTTAAGCTACAACTCACCATTGAGACAACCCGATAGCCTAAGATCTCGTCCCTACTTTGATTTCTTGAGCACCCTATACAGACGTGATGCCGACAAGACTCAATTGTTTCGTCCCTATGTACGCAATCGTCGTGAGGCCATTGCACCTATTGCCTTAGACCTTAACGTTGCCCAACATGAACGCAGCAAAAGAGCCATAGTTTTTCGTCCCCTATTCGTTTATAGACAACAGGAAATTCGAAAACAACAACTTCAAAATCAACGCAGACGTCGTGTTTAAATGAATTTTTTATTAACATATTATTTTCGTAAACATTTTTTTTTTTAATTTTATTATTATTATTTTTTGTTTCTTTTAATTTAATTTAAATTTGTGTACAGGTTGTGTTGCTCTTAGAAAAAAAACCAGAGTAACTCCTTTTATATTTTAATAATTTTGTTTTTCGCTATTTTCTATTGCAAATCGCAAATGTCACCTCTCTTTCAAGTCATATTTTTTTATATAATTATTACTTATGTATGTATTCATCTAAACTAATTTGAACAAAAAAAAACTCAAACTAATGCACCATTTTTTATTTAATTTTATACAAAAAAAATTTAAAAATTTAACTACTACATATTAAATTAGTTTTAAGTATATTTTTTCTATGTAGCTATTTGTTTTTCTTAGTTTATTTAAACAAACGAAATTATATATATTTGTAGTTAGTAATAAAAAATTATTTTTTATTGTTGTTTTTTTTTTATATGTAAAAATAATGTTTAAATAAAAAAAAAATTATTAAATTACATTACATAAAACAAATTTTTGAATTTTCATTAATATGAAATTGACAGATATTCCCAGTAAAATATTTTCAAATTTTGGTAATGAGTATTGTAGGTAATGTAGTTATTTCACACATTACTTGGTAATGAGTGGTCTTTATTAATAAAATTATTTAATTTTTTTTGGGTAGGATTTGTTGCCAGATGTATAGAGCGTATGTCTAATAAGGAATTGGTTAATGGTTTTAAGTCTAATCGATATTAGAAGATTTTTGAAGAAATATTGATTTGTACCTTCATGTAAAAACTATTCCAAATAGCACGATAAAACAATTTGTTAATGGGGCCTTGGGTAATAGAATATACTAACAAGTTAGAGTGCTATATTCGGCTATGCCGAATCTTAAATACCCTCCACCAGCAAACTAATTTTTATTGAAACCCATCTAACTATCAAATTTTTAGATAACTTGCCAAAATTTTTGTCGAACTAATTTTGATTAGGTCCAGAAAAATGTATATTAATACGCCAGTTTGAAAACATTTTAATAGAATGATGTATCTATACACAGAATATGGGAGTTGTGACCAATTATGGACTGATCAGGAAACAATTTCGTATAATGATTTATATGCAGAAAAAGATCAAGTCTAATTTTACTCCAATAGCTTTATTAATCAATGAAATATGTGCGTTTAGGTGACTTTAGGAAGTGGACTTTATATAGGAGCTATGAGCAATTAAGGGCCTATCCGGAAAAATTTCGCAGAGTGATTCATATGTGCTCAAATCATATTTTATCAAGATATCTTTATTTGATAATTAAATATGTGCGTTTAAGAGATTTTTTGAAGTGGACCTATTACCAAATATGGACCGATCCAGATTTGATTTATGTTAAGATAAAACATATTTGTGTCGAATTTTCTCAAATTAACTTTATTTGATAATGAAATATGTGTGTTTAAGTGACTCTCTGAAGTGGACCTTATATGGAAGCTATGACCAATAATGGACCGATCCGAGAAAAAAGTGGTAGAATGATTCATATGTACACAAAACTTATTCAAGTCGAATTTTACCCCTATAGTTTTAGAATTCAATGAAATATATGCTTGTAAGTGATTTTCGGAAGTGGACCTTATATGGGAACTATGACCAATTATGGGCCTATTCGGGAAACATTTCGCAGAGTGATTCATATTAGGACAAAACATATTTGTGTCGAATTTTATCAAGATAGCTTTAGTTGATAATGAAATATGTGCTTTTAAGTGATTTTCGTAAGTGGACCTTATATGGGAGTTATGACCGATAATGGACCGACCCGTAAAAAATTTGTAAAATGATTTGTACGTACACAAAACACATTCAAGTCGAATATTATCCCTATAGCTTTAGAATTCAATGAAATATATGCGTTTAAGTGTTTTTCGGAAGTGGACCTTATATGGGACTTATGACCAATTATAGACCTATCCGGAAAAAATTTCGTAGAGTTATTCATGCTTAGGCAAAACATATTTGTATCGAATTTTGTCAAGATAGCTTTACTTGACATTGAAATATGTACTTTTAAGTGATTTTCGGAAGAGGGCCTTATATGGGAGCTATGACCAATAAGGGACCGATCCGTAAAAAAAATAGTGAAATGATTTGAATGCACAAAAACCATATTTCTGTCGAATTGTATCACGATAGCTTTAGAATTCAATGAAATATATGCGTTTAAGTGATTTTTGGAAGTGGACCTTATATGGGAGCTATGACCAATTATGGGCCTATCCGGAAAAAAATTCGTAGAATGATTCATGTTTAGGTAAAACATATTTGTGTCGAATTTTATCAATATAGCTTTACTTGCCATTGAAATATGTGCTTTTAAGTGATTTTCGGAAGTGGGCCTTATATGGGATCTATGACCAATTATGGACCGATCCATAAAAAATTTTGTAGAATGATTTGTATGTATACAAAATAGATTTGTGTTGAATTTTAACCCGATAGCTTTATAATTCAATGAAATATATGCGTTTAAGCGATTTTCGGAAGTGGACCTTATAAGGGAGCTATGACCAATTATGGACCTATCCGGAAAAAATTCCGTAGAGTGATTTATATTTTGACTAAACATATTTGTGTCGAATTTCATCAAAAAAGCTTTAGTTGACAATGAAATATGTGTTTTTAAATGATTTTCGGAAGTGGGCTTTATATGGGAGCTATGACCAATAATGGACCGATCCGTAAAAAAATTGGTTGAATGATTTGTATGTACACGAAACATATCCAACTCGAATTTTATCACAATAGCTTTATTCATCAATGAAATATGTGCGTTTAGGTGATTTTCGGAAGTTGACCTTATATGGGAGCTATGACCAATTGTGGACCGACTGAGATCTACGTTGACAGTATGATTTCTGTTCATATTATATTTACATGTACAAAATTTCGTGTTGATACCGATATATTTGAGGGAGTTATTAACGATAAACTAATTTCCGGGAATATATAACTTTGTATGGGGGCTATGGGAAATATTCGATCGATTGTAAAGATTTTGAACATAATTAATCACTACCCTGAAAAAATAATGTATGACAAAATTCATCGAAATATCATTTGTGGTTTCTGAGAAAACTTCAAAAGAATTATGAAAAAAACGTAATTTTTTTCGAGGTAGTCTGAAATTTTTACTCATAACTTTTTACGTTGTGAACCGATTTTGCTCATTTTCAATACCAAACTGCTTAGGATAATAGTAAACATTTTGGGTGAATTTGGTTTATTTCCTTTGCTTAGTTTTAACGTGAGCGTGTTTTACACAGACAGACAGACAGACGGACAGACGGACATAGCTAAATCGACTCAGAATTTGATAAGGACCCAGAATATATATACTTTGTTGGGTCTTAGATGAATATTTCTTGGTGTTACACACGGAACGACAAACTTATATATACCCTCTATCACCACTGATGGTGGTGGAGGGTATAATAAACACAGAAAATAACTGTAAGGTCGGTTTTAAATCCGGAAAAGTCGGGTAAGCACATTTATAACCAGTTATTTTTTTGGTCATCGTCAAACAAAAATAAGTAGTTATTCCCCCAAAAAGGAAGTACTTACACTTTGCTCCAATATTACTTGCCTACTTACCGGGTAAGTAAAGATTTTGCTGGGTTAGTATTAAATGTGTCTTGGGAGTTCTAAAATGTTTTTTTGAATATTGGGTAAATCACGCCGGAAGGATTTTCGAAATAAAGGTCTATCATTGTTCACCATAGAAATTTAATATTGCTATACCCTTGTTGATTTTGACATTCCGAAATGTTGGACTTAGATCTACAGAAAAATATATGTACATATATTTTTGTCCATTAAAAGCGTGATAGAACCCAAGCTAATCTCCATTCAAGTACAAAATCTCTCTATGGTACATAATTGACCCAAGTTCCCATTAAATGATTTATCTCGAAAGTCATACTCCTGTTCAGGGGTTTTAAAACTTTTTTTTGGGAGTAATTCGGTATCACGGAAACATTGGAGATATAGTAACGGGTTGATTAACAGTTAAAAAAGTGATTGTAGGTGGAATGGGGTCCAATGGTTAGCCCCTGAAAGTTGTTCACCTCTTGTAACACATTATTTAAAAAAATCACCAAAAATTCAATCGATTTTAGTGCTTTTTATCTTATTTTAAAGACATCATTCCTTAGATTATGATGTCGAAGTGCTTTCCATGAACACCTGTCTCACGGCCTTATTCCACGGTGGTCTTTTTCGTCCACAGGGGAAGCTTCTTTGACGACTCACCACCGCCCCTTTGTGTATCTGACATGATGGTGGCAATTTTGGCACAGACGTATGTATATAGTTCTGCCGCACAGTGGTATAGGAAAAAAAAAAAAGAGGGAAATAATTCGGTAACTTCTAAACGGTTAATCCGATTTTAATGAAATTTGGTATGCACAAAGAGGAGGTGTTGTCGAGTTTAGGTTTTGAATTTGGACCTTATAGGCCAACCAGGGGCCCGGCGGGGGGTCCTCAAATTAGGACACCTCGGCTATGTTAAATTTTTAAAACGATCCTATTTCTTCATTTGAGTTCCGATTTAAAAAAAATTTCGTTGTTGTCATAGCAGTAAATTATCTCTTATAGTTTAGGAGATATTCGCATTTGAAAATTAAAATTTTAAAATTTTTACCGTCCTTACTTTAGTTTTTTTTGATAATAGCAGGTCCAAATATTCCCGATTTTCGCCATTTTGTTTTATTTGCTTAACAACAAGTTTATATACCAAGCAGTGAAAGAATTATGTAAAAATCATGACTGAGTCCAAAGTTATAGGCATTTAAATTTAAAAAATTAAAAAAAGGCGATTTTTTGTCATTTTTTTGGGAAAAAAGTATCTTTTTCTTTTTAAGTTATCTAAAAAGTTTCTAAGAAGATGTATATAGAATTTATACTTTTTGGAAAGCTGACTTTACATAAAGTACTATAAATGAAACAAAACCTAAAAATTTTTGATACCGAGGGGACCAGGTCCATCCAAAAAAACCCTATTTTTTATGGAAAATTAAATTTTGAGCAAAAATTCTCAAATCGCATAGTCGATATCAAATTATAGTGATCTGTTTTATATGACCCAATAAGTTCTTAATCATTTTGTAACGGGTTTCGATAACCCCGCCCCTGGTATGGATATAATAGGCAAAAAACCAAAAAATCCCATTTTTGGGATTTTTTAAAACTTTTTTGGGAATTCCGGGATTTCTAATAAGAAAATTCGAAATTTTTATTTAATTTTGGATTTTGAGTAAAAAAATCTACCTAACTGTAAAATTTCATCAAAAAATATTCATAAATAAAATTTTTATTGCAATTTGAAAAATTTGTATCTTCGCAAAAACTGAATAAAAAACATTTTTTAATTTTTTTTAAAAAAAGTATTCCGCGAATTTTTTAATTTTCAAAAATTATATACAGTTTTGAAAAATAGACAAAATTACCTTTCCATTGATA